CGTGTACCTCTGGCATATTTTATTAATTTTAATGAACATTTACAGGGATTTTGGATTTCCAGTCATTTATTGTTGCACATTTCTTTCTGCCCAGCCCTCCCCCTCCCCCCCCACCAGTTCCCCAGTTCGCTTCTCTCTTTGAAAAGCAACAGAAAAATTCCTTCTTTGGTATACAGTCCGCCTGTACCCCTCCCAGTGCCCCAAATACACTCCACTATGCAACCTTAATTCTTTTGTAAAATGGGAATTACAACAAATGTACTCATTTCATAGGGTTTTTAGGCTTAAAGAAGTTCATTATTGTAAGGCACTTGAACAGTATATGACTTGTTTTACCTAGTTGTTACGTGTTTATGGAATCATAATGATTCATAACTGACCCTTCAGTGGGTTTTCAGAGGCATTTAATTACTTGAGAGGAGATTGTCCATCTTTCTCCCTTGGAATAGTTGGTGGATTTGAGCCATGTATGTGCCTTTGGGTTGGCAATCCAACTCCGTATCATTAAGCCACCAGAGCTCTCTATTTTACATTAATACTATTATAATTATATCTTTGATAGGTTGCAGCTGGAATGAGTGCTCTTTGGAGGCAAGAGTGATGAGGCTTCACCTCATACACTTTGGACATGTTGCTAGGTGGGGCTATTCCTTGGAGAAGGACATGGTGCTAAGGAATGTGAAGGGTTGGTGAAGGAGAGGAAAACTCTTAACCAGGTGGATTGACACAGTGCTCCAGTGGGCTTTAGTATGTCAGGAAGTGTGAAGATGGCATAGGACAGAACAAAGTCAGATCTTTTGTTCATAGGGTTGCTATGAGTGATACTCGACTCAGAGGCACTTAACAACAGCTGTTCTTATTTGATCAAGTTCCTCTTTTTGGACTCAGTTTTTTATAGGATTGCTATACAAAGAAATACATAGCAATAAATGCAGTATTGTTTAAAATAAAGGAAAAATTGAAAATACCCTACATGTCAAACAGTCAGGGAGTAGTTAAAGAAATGGTGGTTTTTCTATCTGTAATAATTTCTGGTTATAAAAATGTATTAGATAAATATTCTAATATGGAAAGAGCTCCAAAAATGCATTCATTTTGAAAAGAATAGTTTACAAAATACCTTACTTAGGCAACACAAACCAAGCAGTTCATGGATTTTTGTGTATGTGCCTAATTAAGTACATAAAAGAAGTTCTAAACCTTAGCAGTATAAACTTTAACAATGGTTACAAATGTGATAGAAGAAGGGCTTTAACAGTGGGGAAAAGGAAAAGGGCCTACACTGTCTTCACTTTTGTACTCACTTTACGTTGGATACTAAACAAGACCTCCACCCCTCAGTGATGAGATCAGTAGATCAGTACTGGTGAGGACTTCAGAACGATGGCAGTTCAGTGCAGCATTTTTCTAGGATGACTGCTAAGTGGAATACTTAAGTATTTTTTTTTACTTAAGTATTCTTAATACTGCTAAGTGTTTCTCTCTATATTCACAAGTGGTTTTCATTTCCTAATTTTTGTTGATTCCGTTTAGTCTGACTTATTTTGTCAATAACATACATAGCAAGAGGCTCAATAGTTTTTAAAAAAAAAGTATATCATTTAAATTGAATTCTTATTAAAGCAATCCAAAGAAACCATTAACTCTAGACCATTTCTTTTGTTTTATAGCTGACTTTGGTTTCTGTGCCCAGATCACCCCTGAGCAGAGCAAACGAAGTACCATGGTTGGAACACCCTACTGGATGGCACCAGAGGTGGTCACGCGAAAAGCTTATGGCCCAAAAGTGGACATTTGGTCTCTAGGCATTATGGCTATTGAGATGGTTGAAGGAGAACCTCCGTACCTCAATGAAAACCCCTTGCGGGTAAGTCTAATATTTATTTTATTTTAAGGAAAATTCCTTTTTTTGTGGAAAATACTTTCTTTTAAAAAGTTTATTAGAACTTGCTTATGCTAGTCACTGGCCAGGTATATTATTTGTCTACAAAAAGGAATGAAATACTGATACCAGCTATGAACCGTGAAAACATGTAAGTGAAGGGAGCCCAGACACAGAAGCTCACATGTTGTATAATTCCATTTGTAAGAACTCCAAACAGGCAAGTCTGTAGACAGAAAGTAGATTCATGATTGTCAGGCCTCAGTGGAGATTCAGTGGGACATGGGGAGGGAAGAGATGCAGTGGGATATAGGGAGGGGAATGTGAAATGACATCAGAAAGCACAGGGTTTTTCATTTTGTTAGGGTGAAAATATTCTTGAGTTAGATAGTGGTCATACGTGGTTCATGGTTACACGTTCCTGTGAATATCCTAAAAACCACTAAATTATACACTTTGGAAAAGTGATTGTTTTGGTTTATTAACATTTGTCAATAATGCTATTATTAAAAAACAACAGTACTGTATTTGAGTATAGACTTGGTGCACTTAAAATCACCCCCACATCCCCCAATAAGTTCGGCATAAGCTGGGATACAGATGCCAAAGAATTGATTATGTGAAAGGAATCAGGGCCACTGGAAAGAGTAGTGGGATTTAAGATCCTGTAGGATCAAGGATTGCTCCACTTGGAGTAGAAAAAGTAAGAAAGTGGAGTAGAACTGATGGCTGCATGCGACAGCACGGGTGAGTTGTAAGGAAAGTGTGTGGTGAAGGTGTGTGGTAGCACTGTGGTTATTAACCCAAGGCCAGCAGTTTGAATTCCTAGCTGCTCCTTGGGAGAAAAAGGTGGTAGTCAGTATCTGTGAAAGTTTCTGCCTTTGAAACCCTGGGGGGCAGATCTCTTCTTTAATAAAGTCAAATAGATAAGCTTGGCTTTACTAAAATTCAAACCCACTTTGCAAAAGACCACTTTATTTTTCAAAAGACACATTTAAAAGAATGAAAGGCCAACAGATACATTCTGCCTGTATGTATGTATACATGCAAAAACATACCTGATGATGGACTTACCAGGAACCTTTAAGATCTCAAAGACACAGTCAATTTAAAAGACGACAAAAGATCTGAGCATTTATCAAATAAAATACATAGAGGACAAAGAAAGTGTATGAAAAGATATTCAACAACATGTCATTAAGGAGTTGCAAGTTGAAACCACAATAAGATACCAATACTCACCTATTTGCTCAATAAAACTCACTGCTATCAAGTTGGAACGGACTCATAGCTGAACCTCCAGTGGCTTTTCAGAGGCTGTAATTAGTGCAGAAGGGTATTTCCCATCTTTGTTCCATAGGAGTAGCTGGTAGATTCGAACCACCTGCCTTTGACGTTGACAGCCAACTCCTTGCTCCTAGGTCATCCAGACTCCCTCTAAAAAGGTAGTCTGTTAATTGGATAATAATAATTCCACTTCTCAGAATTGAAATCAGATTCAGAAAAAAATACAGTGAAATTTGGATGAAATTACAAAGCATTCAAAGAAGATACTAAAATAATTATGTAGATGTAATCAGTTATTAGAGGACCTCTGGTGGCTTAGTGATAAGGAGCTGCACTGCCACCCCAAAAGCACATGGTTCAAATCTCCCAGCTGAATAAATCTTATTGTTTTGAAATGTTCATCTGTGACTTGAATAAAGTAATGAGAAAAGAAAGATAATATTACACTATGTATAAGTTGATAGTTAAGTTATGGTAATTTTTCCTTATGCCTTATTTAAGAGAACTCTGATGGCCTAGTGAGTAAGGTCCTGCACTGCCAACCCAAAGGCAGGCAATTGGAATCCCCAGCAGATCCACATTAGAAATATCGGTAACCTTCCAACCTCTGAAAACCCATCGGCTGTGAGTCAATTCTGACTCAGTGACAATGCCTTGGTGTTTTATTCAGTATCATTTTGGTTTTATGTATGTATTTTGAATCAGTATGTATTGCATTTAAAACCTCTCCCTAAAAAAGAACACTAATTCTCTTCTTGAAAAGAACTTGTGTAGATGTAAATCTAAACATTAGAGGAAAAATACCAAATGTAAGTGGATAGAAACAATAATGACCTCACTTTAATACTTTAGTATAGTCCTTGTCTTTAAAGAAGTAAAGGATCAATTAAATGTTCTAACATAAGAATGACAATGATGCTTTATTTTTAGGCCTTGTACCTGATAGCAACTAATGGAACCCCAGAACTTCAGAATCCAGAAAAACTTTCCCCAATATTTCGGGATTTCTTAAATCGATGTTTGGAAATGGATGTGGAGAAAAGGGGTTCAGCCAAAGACTTGTTACAGGTGAGTTTGGAAATAATGCCATTTTGGGGGAAAAAACTAACCTTTTTGAATAACAATCAAAAAACTTACGTAGGGTTGACTGATTATATTTAACTATTGATCCCATCAATGTGACAGCTACTGAATTTTTAATACTTACCCACTAGAAAATAAAATGCCTATTAATTTGACTCCAAATAATAACATTATAATAATGACTTCTATGTCTTACCAGTTCTTTTTTTGGTAATAATTTTTAATGGTTTGCAGTCGAATTACTGGTATGTAGTAATTCACGTATGTTGTGTTTCATACAGTCATTCATTATGTTTTCTATAACTTACTGTTGATCTGTGCCTATTATTACCCTGTCTTTTCAAATAAATTATTAGACCTGTCCACTGCTAGCAGATGTCAGAAAGTCAAAACGAATATTTTATAAATTTTAGGAAATTTTTTAAAATTGCATTTTCAACATTAAAAGTGATATATGCTGCATGGGATTGTACAATTTTTTTGATGGGTGGGGAAAATTGGAAAAATCTGGTGTGAAAAACAATGTTTTCGAATTTTATAAATAAACTAGTGTAATTTTTAAAAAGTGATATATGTTGGACTTTTTTGCATTTAGAATAATCTGTAGTTTATTCAATTACTACCCAAAAGTCTTCTTTTGGTCTTAATTGAAAGAAAATACTATGTGTTTCTAAGTTGATGACAGTTGCTCATTCTTCTTCCTGGCAGCATCCCTTCTTGAAACTTGCCAAGCCCTTGTCTAGCTTGACACCACTGATTATGGCAGCTAAAGAAGCAATGAAGAGCAACCGTTAACATCACTGCTGTGGCCTTGTAATCTTTTTCCCATTTTCTAAAAGAAGTCTTTTAATATATGGAAAATATTACGCTTTTAATGGGGGTTTGAAAGAAATGGTCTGTACAACATAGAAGAAAGCAAACTACTCCCTGAGAAGAAGCCCAAGAGAAGATTGGAAGGGGGAAAAAAAAATTATGACTGAAAAGAACCCCTTCTTTAGGGTCCAAAAGGAATTGTGGACTGAATCACTAGCCTTATATCTTTTGGCACACAGCCAGCCCTTCAGGGCCATTTATCATGCTTGAGATTTGTATTTTTATTTTGCTGACTTTGTTGTACTAGCCCCACCCATTGTCCCCTTTGGGGTGTGTTCAGTACTTGAATGGCACATTCGAGTTTCCGAGTATTTGTTTCATCTGCCAGTTGTATTTCCTCTCTTCTTCACAGTTTTTGTTTTCCATGACTTGCTCCTTTGGAGTTGCATCGAGAAGTTTTTCTCATGCCTAAATTCAAGGCAAGTGTGATAGAAATTTTGTAGCTCCTTATATTGGCTTAGATAGGGATTAACTTTATATACAAGGTAGGACCGGCTATAATGTTCTATTTCAGCACAGAACTTGAACTGAAGGAAGGGAAGAGTATGTGATTTTTACCTTTTTTTAACAAATGTGAAAAAGTCCGTTTTAGAAATTTCATGATAGTCAGTTGTTTGGCTTTTGTTACATGTATAGAGAGAAGACTAATAATCTATATTTATAACTAAATCGAATCTGAAAAAGAATCCCATTCACTCTTCGTCCTCACTTTTTTCTTACTGCCTACTTCCTCTTCATACTCGGCGTCAGGAACCAAAGTGCTTTGTTCTTGTTCCACCTTGGGCTTTTTATGACTTTGGTGGGTGCCAGTACCTTCTCTCCCTCCCCCTTTCATTTCTAAAAATAAGTTTCTGTATATGTTGTAATTTTAAGTTTAGATTGTTTTTTTATTAACCCTTAGTGGCAAATAATAAATTAACCATTGAATTTCCAGAATTTAAAAGTAAATCTGTCCTTTCCTTTCCCCTCCTTAGAGGAGAAAAATATTTGAGGATAGCAGAGAGAGAGTGGAGACTTGAAACCTTGATGAACCAAAAAGTACTTAGACTGTATTCATAAAAAGTAAGGAAACAAGAAAGAGGAGGATTTGTTACCTAGAGACGCAGTATAGAGATTAATCACAGGTTCGGTAGTTCCCAACTCATCAGCATCTTAGTGGCTAAAAGAATTTAAGTAACAAGCTCCTTCTCTTGATAAATCCATGGGATCACTTTAGATGCTGCATTATTTTACATTTTCTTTTTCAAATGAATAGATAATATTCCAGTTTTTAAAAATGGACAAAAGAAGATAAAATAGAATATGCTTGATGATAGTGAATACTATTTTAAGTTTAGAGGAATAAAATGGTCTGTGACCTGTAGCATCAATTATTAGTGTGAACTCTTCTCTCCTGTCCTCTCATCTTTCCTCTTGTCATTTTTTTGTGTTCGAAGAGGGATTCTCCCTTCTGATACGCCAGTCAAGAAAAAAAAAAAAAGAAAATAAGAAAAAAAAAAATACAAAACAGCCTGGCACTTTGTTTCTACCATCCCTTCTCAGTGCACTTCACCCTTCCTAGCCAGCCTGCAGTAGTACAAATCATGCGTGAAGAAAAATTTGATAATTTAGGGTGTGTTAAGGGAGCTAGCAGGGCTTTCTGTCCTCTTAGTCCCATGTAATATGTATTAAGATAATATGTATAAGGATAGAAATGGTTATTTTAGGAAGTTTTTCACAAAATTTAGTAAAACAGTGCAGTATAATCTGGAGCACTTAGGGTCTCTATTTTCAAATGGTTCTTGATCTCTGTTTTCCTCTGGATATTATTGGCGTTCTATAGCTATTTCTAAATTACTTTGTGGAACAAGTTGGTTTATTTCTGATGGGAAGCTCCAGTGCCTCTTGGGTTCCAGATTTGCACATTCTTTGTATAAAGTTGTCTGGATGGATGATGATGAAGAAGAAGATGATCCTGGTGAAGTAGAACCACTCTCTAGACAGTAAGACTCTGATCAGCCATCATCAACACCCAAGAAGGCACTCCCAAGTACAGATTATAAGACCGTATTCATTCAGTACAGTGCCAATTACCCATTTCTATGCCTGTAACTCATCAAAGGGCTTTGCAGTTTGGAATTTGTATTTACAGCTTTTGATGGTTACCTGCACGTCCATTGCTGGCAACGGACTTTGTCATTAAACCTGACTCCTAGGTTAAGAGAGCTATACTGTGGTTTATTCTTTACTTCCCTGGATAAACTAACCTGTAGTTGAAATAGGCTTTGGTTAATTTGAAATGTGTTCTTTTAAAACAAAATAATCTTAAAAGCAATATGGAATTGTGATTTATTAGTTTATTTTAAATTAAAATGTTCAGATCTTAATGAAATAACAGTTACATCTGAATCAAGATTAATTTTTTAATAATTGCCTTTGAATTCACCTTTTATGTCATCACTTTAGAATGACAATTCTCATTTAATTCTAAAATTTAGTCTTCTGTTCTTAGGATAACATTATGTAGTATTTATTATATTTCAAATTCTCTGGCAGTCTTAAAGTCACCCGCTCCTCTTGTTCCTTTTGCTGCCTTTAAGACAGCTAAAACTGGGAAACTATGAAAATGTTATTTTATCCCTCCATGAATAGTAAATGAGTAATTGTGTTCGAATAAGAAACAAATACTGTCATACTCTGTCTTCATGTGTTGAATGCCTGGCACACAGTAGGAATTATTTTTTTCTTTTAACATAAAAATATTAAGCTGCTTAAAATTTATCTAATAACAGTCATAAATGAACCTGTGCCTTTTAACAAGCAACTTAAAACTGCTTATGAGTATCTTTTTAGGGCTCATTTAAATATATGTTTGTATATTCTGTATTTTAGTCAGAAAGATCTTGAGTCAGATTAGGCACTAAGCAACAGTTAGAAAAAAGAGTGCTTATAGAATTTGCATCAGTTTTTTAATCTAAAATTTTAAAATACTGTATTCAGGTTGGAATGTTGCAAATTCATGTTAGATGATAGCTAAAATCTGATTTCATATTTTTAGCAGAAGAATGCCATAGTAATATAAAAAGACAGATTGTCTTCCTTGTCTCCACTGCTCCCACAATAAGTATTTAAGCAGTTTTTACAGTATATGGAGGGAAGGAAAAATACGTACATACACACACATTTTTTTTTCCTTGACACATTCATTGAACAGGCAGAGATACTGTGATAGTTGTAGGAGTTACAAAGAAGAGTCTAGCATTGGCCTATCCCCCACTCCTTTATTTTGGTAGATAGGAATGGAATTTTGTGAAAGTGGTTTGTCTTTTTTCCTTCAAATTTTATATTGCCTTTTATTTTTAATTTAATCCTGTTCTATTTAATTGTCATTGATATTAACTGCTGTATTTGATGACTTTACTCAATAATTTTGTTCTTTCAGGGCTAGAAATAAACTTTTTTCAATGTTTATTTTCCCTTTTCTAAATGTTAATTCTTTATTTGGATCAGAATACCTTGAAAGAATAAGTGTTACTGTTTCTAATACGTTTTCAACTAATGTAGGATTTTTAAGGATAATTTTTTTAACATGTATGGTATCATTTTTAAAAACATTGTAGAACTCCCAAGTTAGAAGTATTTTTAATACAAACATGAGCTGCCGCTTTTCTTAAACCAGGTTCAAAATAAATTTCTTTCAGGCCCAGAGTAACATCTTTTTGAACACATTCTGGAATGAGGCTTGACATTCTAATGCTTACCTGGCTGAACTAACAAGTATATCACCACATAGTCTTTGTTAAAGGCACCAAGAGATGTATAGAGTATAATATTTTGAGGCATTACTTCATTACAAATTTATTTTGGAATCTTGTCTACCCTGGCATTCATAACAGCTGCCATAGTTTTTTAAATGTTCCTGTTGAGTACCTTTAAAAAATTAGTAGACAGATGCCTTCTTGAAATAGTCCTTAAAAACCGAAAAACTAATGACTGCTTACAAAATGCATTTGTTAAGCTATTAAGGCATATAATGATGTTATTTTTAATACTTCTATTTCCTTAAATTAATTGTAACAGATGCTTAAAATTGATACTTTTTGAAAATTGCCTAAGAAAAGTTTAAAGATATTTGGATGGTCAGCTTGATAAGTAGCATTAACAGGAGCTTAATATCTATATACTTAGATATTAATGTTGATTTTTAAATTATTTCATGCTAATTTAAGTAATTTCTCTTTTGTGAATGAGATTCGTTGAACAATGATGGGGCAGTCTCTTGGGTTTTTATCAAAGTAATGCATATAGTTTTAAAGCTTAAATCTTTAAAGTAATGTAATAAACAGTGCTACTCCCTGACTTTAAAGTTTCCCATTGCCAAGCCCTTCAGAGAGGCTTTTAATTCTTTTTTAGCTGTTTAGCACATTGCCGCACATTTTTAAATTGACGACCATGCTTAGAAACACTTTTCCCCCCCTTTGCTGTATTACAGTCATTTGTGGTAACGTGTTAAATTGGGTGGGCAGGGGAATGAGGTGATGTGAAATAGGTACCATGAGTTGATTCTGACTCAGTCAAATGCCATGGTGCACATGGATCAGTGCCTGAATGCTGAGTGAGAGCTTGGCAATTTAAACGCACCCAGAAAGTCATGCCTTAAAAACCTTCTGCAATGTGGTTCTTGACTTCTGTTTTGTCTTGCTGTATCTAGGGACTTCCTGCTGTATAGGTTGAGTATTTGAATATTTTACCATCCCATTCTCACATTGCATCTTCCTCAAGTTACCAAATTAAGAAAAGTGCCATTATTTTCTTAGATTAATTGCCATTGAGTTGATTCCAACTTACAACATCCCTGTTGCATAGGATAGAACTGCCTCGTGGGGTTTCCAAGACTACAGACTTAAAGAACAGACTCCCATGTCTTCTATAAAATGACTGATGTGTTCAGAGCATTAGTAGTAGTCTTTGTTGATGTAATGACTACTGTGTTTAAGTGTTACTTGGCTCAAATAATTTGTTATCATTGACATTTTATTTCTCATTCAACTTGCTTTCCCTGTTGTTAATTTTCATGTCTTTTGTTTCTAGCTCTATGTAATCTCAGCACACTGCTAACTCAAAGGTGGTGCTTCTGTGGCAGTTTGAATCCATCAGCGTTTCTGAGGGAGAAAGATGGGCAGTCTTCTGTGCAAATCACAGCCTCTGACAACTTGCTGGAGGGTCAGCTATGAGTCAGTTCTGACTACATGGCGATGAGTTTTGGTTATGTTGGGGTCTTTTTTCTA